ATATATGGATAGATATGTATTTTTAAAATTGTATTCACATGAAGATCCAGTTTTCTATGAAGGAAACTTTAAACACTTACCCAAGTGCAAACATACATATATGGAGAACATCTTCGCCGGTGAAGTCCAAGTAAAAAGTTGCTCCTTGAAAAAGAAAGAATTCATGACATCTTTCTTCCCAGCTTACATGAGCACTTAGCGTTACACCTCCAGCACTAGTCCCTCCAGAAACCAAATAATGCAAAATTCCTGGTTTTATAGTCAGCACCTTTGCTTTTTTAATGCTGCACATTTAAGAGCACACATCACCCTCTGCTACATGCTAGCGTGGTATGAGTAATACAGTCTCAAATGTCAGTTCCCATGTACTTCAAACAAAATGACAGAACTTAACAGAAAATTTTAACATATTCTAATGGGATAAGTCACATTTTTGGAAAGAAAAAAGAAACAAAGCCAGGTGCAGAAGAGAGATGACAAGAAAATACAAGTCATCACCTTGCTGAGTATTCACTTTCCTTGTCTGTAAGTGGGGATTATTTTCCCAAATCTTTTTCCTTTGTTTTAGAAAGGACCAACACACTGTTTTGTGCACTGTTACCTGCTGTGATCCCTACTGTCGTGGACAGGATGTAGCCGATGCTGGCAATCTGAGATGAGTCATACAGCTGTGAGGCTTGAGCTAAAAATCTGCAATACAATGACAGATGACAGGGGTTGATTTGGGAAAGATACTCAAATTGTATAGCAGTTATCATGGACTGGTATAGGTCGCCTTTTTGGAAACACCTTTCAAAAGTGATGTATAAATTTAAGAAACTTTATTCTCTTTCTTGCTAAAGCTGCAGCAGCATCCCTTGGAATTAATATAAATGATAGAAGAGTAAGCCTCATGGCTACACTGTCTAAAGGCAGTGAAATTGCTGCCACTGACCTTCAGGCCAGCATATCACTTGCATTTTGAATAGTTTTTTATCCCTGCACTGCCAGCTTTTTATGTTATTACAAGTATTGAGGAAGAAAAAAAAACACAGACACATCATCACCACCACCAATTCTGCGCTTTGGTTTTAGCCAGTGCACAGATACAGATTTGCCACGATTTCATTCCTAACATTGTTTTGCAAATACTTGAATGATGTATAAATCTGGGATTAAAACTACTTGGCAGTGTCACTACATGGAAGAGCAAAGAACACCACTATCCCAGGCTCCTGTGACAGGGATTTCAGGACAAGTCACAGAAGAAAATGGGTAATTCTCCTCCTAAATTTAATCAGTATACTTGGAATGGATAACAGACCACTAATTACCGATCCACTAAAACCAGCACAATTACAGACAAAAAGAAAGTGAATGTCTTACGTTGCTTGAAAGGTCGCTGTAGCAATCATGCACACCAACATGATATAAAATATAGGGTAGTCGAGTTGTAAGTTTCCTTGTATCGAGACAACAATCATGCCTGCCACCGCTTTCACGGTCACAACAGTCATGGAACCTGTGAATGTTTCAAGCATGGTATTAGCTTCATCCAATTTGTAGTAACATTTCTGGAGTAGATCGGTGCATTTTATGACATAAATTAGGTCAATATAATTCTCTGTATGCCAGATGCTTCGGTTTACTGTAGTTTACTGAAGCCAGAGTTACAAGATCTTACAAGTCCATATCAACTTACCCAGCAAAGCTACCAGCAGAAGAATAACTACAATGTAGTTTGCATTTTTCTCCTTGTAAAAATATAGTAGCAGGCAGAATATGATGATCTCCACAAGCTACAAAAGATAGGAATGAGAATCTTAAAAAAATGCAGGGTGTACAGGGTTGGCAGTAAATGGGATTCTGAGCCAGTCAAACATTAGAATTACACAATAGGGCAAATCAAAGGAAAATGAGGATCCCACACAATTATAGGTCAAATTTAGCATGATCTTGGATTCTAATTAGATGAGATATTCAGTAGCTTCTTGCAGAACAGGAAATATGGGACACTTTAGACATTATATTCATGATAAAACAGCAGATCAAATAATCCCGACTGAATATTCACATCAGAGATCTCAATCTACTTTCTGTAATGAGGTTCTGTAAGTGATTCCTGCAGCACACATCTTATTTAATGGCCAACCTTATCCCCTTTAAAAACCAAGATTTCAGTTAGAGATTGATGGTTCCAGAGAAAGTCAGCCTAGAAAAAGCCCAGATGCAAGCACAGTACTTTGACACCTCTGGAGCTGCCATCAGTACAACTGCCGCACGTATGAAGCTGACACATGAGGGAGAGAGCAAGCTATTTTAAAACTTTTCAGTTAAAGATATTTAAGTCCTAACAGAATAATTCAGAGAAAGAATGGGAGAGTTCCAAATTGTGCATGCAGATGTCCACATGCAATGTGGAACTGACACCAGGAAAAGCTGGCATAGGTTCATTAGCAAGTACAAGGAATATTGCTAGTAACTGTAAGCAAAAATAATGCTTGAAATGAAACTCCCCGTCAGGCATATACCAGAAAACTGTCCCACATTTTATGGGCCACCTTACCATATACAACAGAAATGGCCAGCTCACTAAATGCCTAGTGATATTTTCGCCTGTCATCTTCTCATGACTATTAGGTCCAAATGTTATCAGCAGATAAGTTCCAACAATTGCCAAACCACAGCCTATAAAGGACAAAACATAGCGCCCTTCGGCAACCAAAGGACAAAAAAAAAAAAAAAGACAAAAAAAAAAAAAAAAAAGAGTACAAAGTTAGTGGGTTAGTGTGGATGCATGGAATTAATATCGGACATGCACAGTGACCATTAATTACATCATGCACATTCCTCTGGATGACTCATTCCTCTGCCCTTCGTGCCCCACTTTCAAAATATTAGAAACGAAAAAACCCTAGGCAATGTGTGTGCTGTGAGTTGAGAAAAAAAAAGTTCATACCAGGTAGCATGTGCTAAACAAACAGGAGTGACAAGATCTGCATCTGAGGCTTATCCTGCCTGGCACTGCCCACAGCCCATTTTCTAGGAAATGGCAGAATGAACGCCCCAGTTCTGCAAAGCCTTGCACATGTATGAAGTTCAGCTGATTTAGTTGTGCCTACGCTATTGCAGAGTCAAGGCCTTAGGCTGCAGCTTCAGCCCAGAGAAACATGATTCTCAAAATCCTGCAAACAAACACCACTTCCATGTATTTCTAAAATTTGTGGGATTCAGATTATTTGGCACAAGTCAAAAAAAAATCAGTTTTTAACAAACAGTGGATGAGATGACGCATTTGTTTGAAGGAGTACTATAGTTACTGGAGATCTTGCCATCCCTCTAAATACGATTCTTGAGAGGTCATGCGATGTGTTCAATGGCTTGTAAACAGAGAGGAAAAATGAAAAGGAACTGTGAAACTTACTCAAAAAATCCTTGGGCTTCCATTTTTCTTTAATAAATATAATTCCTATGATTGCACTCGCTATAAAAAAAAAAAAAAAAGGAGAGAGAAACAGTGAGTTATGTGTCAGTCCCCTGATCACCAATCTCACACTGGAACACACTCACTGTTGTCTCTTTCCCCCTTACCTATAACAGACACTGCACTAAGTGGCACAATCAGTGAAAGGGGAGCAAAGGCGTAAGAGGAAAACACTCCCAGTTCGCCCAGCACGAGCAGAAACAGTCCACACCACCATGTCTTGGTTTTGAAGTAAGCTCGGGAGTCTTTGGAACCTGCCAGTCGGATGTGGCTGTATTTCTAGAAAAGAAAAGAAAGGCAAAGAATCTTGGGCATGCTTGATGCTTTTTAATGCAGGATGCTTGAGGCAGAGTCAATATTTGCTTCATGATACTCACCTGGAGGTTGAGTGCAATACTGATAACAAGATGCCCAAAAATAGCTAGTAATGCACCGATCAAATTCTCCTGTAAAAAAACAAGTAAACAGACAGATTTAAATTTAGGCACTGAAGCCTAAAGGAAGTTGGAGCTTTTTGCACAATCTTGAAGAAAGCAAACATTTAAAACACTTCCTAGACCACCTGTTACTAAATTCTCTGTTTAACTTCCTTTGGTGATCGAGGGCAATTCAGGGAAGTTCCCTGTGGCTATGTTCCAAATCTGAAAAGGTGAAAGATAACCCTTCCTTAACAGACACTTTCTACAAGAGACCTAAATTAGCGTGCACACATTTGCATTCTTTCAGTTTCTCACAGGGGAAGAAGATAAAGCTAAACACAACGACCCACTCCCTCGCTCTTCCCTTTGAAAAGCTCTTTTCATGAGGATGTTTGTTGCCCTGGAGTTCAGCAGAGGGTGGATCAGGAACCTCTGCATTCTGCGGGTCACATCTTAAGAACCATTCTGCTCTTCATTTATAACATCTGCTGTCTCAGTAGGTGATTTGGCCCATTTGATGAGGCACCCCAATTAGCACAGATTTTATGCTCCTTTTTTTACAAACCAGTTATTCCAAAATAATAACAAAAGCAACTGGTAGCAGCTCCTAGCAAGCTCCCAACCCCTTCTACATCAGCATTCCCAGCTCAGCAATAATTCTCACAGTCTCAAGACAGAATTTGAAACAAAAAAGGATGTAAAGCAGGCTGAGTCACAAAGGAAACACTGGGAGTGAACAGAAGACCCTGAGGCTAAGCCAGGCCATTTGTGTTCTTCCAACAACTGCCTAAATCGCATCAGATGTCATTAGCACTTCTCATTTCAGTGCAGGTCTCCCAGATACAGTGCAGTACTTGCTCTGATTGATTTGAGATAGCTGAGCTCACATTCCTATTCCTCCCTCAACAGTAAATATACTATTCTTGATTTTCTCATACATAGTAAGACAAGGACTTTAAGATTTAAAGCTTTTATCAGTGGAACAAAAACATCTTTATCAGGATGTACAAAAATAAGATTCACCCAAGCAGCTTCATTCAAAAACACTTGAGAGGTCTTCCCACAACAGACCAGAAAGTTGACAGCAGAATGTATACAGCAGACCAGAACATCTGATCTCAGTTACTGTGTGTGGGATAGTCTGAAAAGGCACCTAGCAGAATTTATTGCACCTAACCACCTTTAGACATCCACATGATCTTTGAACTGCCAGACATTCTTTCATCACTTTGTCTAGCTCTTTAAGATACAAATGTTCTCTTTCTTTCTCTCCCTGTTTATAACACATCTTATAATATGCTGGGGCCTCCAGGCATGGCTAAATACAAGGTGCACTTTCTGCAAAAGAACCCCCAACATACAGCAGTATTATCAGTCTACTTGAATAGTTAGGGCCTTCTAGGGACAGACTGGGGCAGAAATCTGACCTTGTAAGAGAAGGCGTCAGTGTGTGGCTGCACAGAAACCGCTGCTGTGGCCAATGGAAGTTGCTGAAGTTGCAGATTTGGACTGTTGCCTCCTTCCATTTTGGCTGATCGGAGTGTTTGCTTTTCAGCCTCCTTGATGATGGACCTTCTCTTCAGAGAAGAGACTTGGACCCTGCTCGAACCGCCTTATCTGTAACTTGGTACCACTTCTTCCGTTCCATCCTGTTTTCTTGGACAAGCAACAACTAGTTCAGCGAAGCACAAGAAAATTCTCTGTAGCCTCTCCGGTGCTTTTCTTCGCCCACCAGGCTACACCGCGATCGGGCAGGCACCGCAGGCAGAAGTGTAGGTGAGCCAATATTTCCAGCCAGTCAGTGGAGCAGCAAGGTTATATTCTTCCAAGGTGACACTAAGGGAAAAAAAAATTAAAAATACAGAATTAGGTCAAAGAACTTCATAGTCCAAAACCTGCAATGAAATCCTGATAAAGGATAGGCCACAGAAAACTCTCTGGAATCAAGCTAACAGCTGCACACACCAGCAGAGAAAGTTGAGTTTAAATGTCTTCGTACAAAGGCTTAAATACAAAAACTCACACAGACCTCGCTTTACAGGAGCTCGCAAGCTGGTGTGGCCTCAAGGGTGACATACTCAGCTGGCATTTAACATCAGGCCTTGCCATTTGGAAAGCTCTTATCAAAAATTCTGTTTTTCATTTCTCTACTGCGTGCGTAACTCTGTGGTTTATTCAGGACACAGCGTTACATGAGTCACGCCACCCCACGTGCTGGGGATGACAGTGCTGCTCTTGATGCAAACAGAGGTCATTTCAGTGTAATTGCTGCGAGCAGGGTTTGGAGCCTAAATTCCTTCGAGCCAGACTCATTATGGGTGTCTGGAAAGCATCGCGTGCTGCACGCCAGCCTGAGGTCCCTGTGCGCCGTGGCGGCTCCTTTCACCACAGACCTCAGAATCACAGAATCACAGAATCACAGAATGTTAGCAAGCGGAACCTCCTATGTTCCAGCTTGAACCCATTGCCCCTTGTCCTATCACTAGATGTCACAGAGCATCCTGCAGCAAGGGACACTGGCGGCAAGACCCCTCGGTGTAGAGGGGGCTGTCGGTGTACAGACATGGCAGGGGTGTGATGCTCACAAGGGACACATCCTTCTCGGCCCATTGGTGCAGGCTGAGTGTCCCTAGACTCCGAACTGGCCCGTGGTGACATCCCGAGGTGGCAGGACCAGACCAGGAACTGCACGCTCTCTTGGCTTGACAGCTCGCCATGAAAAGGCAAAAACACCCCGCTGGGAGGGGAGATGGGGGCCAAAGCACTCCCCGCGGTGAGGAAACCCTGCCCGGGCAGAGCAGAGCCCGGCTGAGGGCAGGGGGTGCCCCCAGGACACCCTCCCCG